AATTTGGGATGATGGAGCTCTGAATTTGGGGATAATGGAGCTCTCAAGTTGGGGTGATGGAGCTCTCAAGTTGGGGTGATGGAGCTCTCAATTTGGGGTGAAATGTGCAGAGGCAGAGCTGGAGAAAAAACTCCCCTGGTCCTTGGAAGATGTTGAAGAGGAACCAAAAGGGCCACAGAGTAATTTCCTTTAGAGAAAACCGAACTGTGTCTTGGGGCAGTTTGTTTAAAACAAACTTTATTTGGCAAAGCAGAGACATTTGCCTGAAAAATCCTGGCTCTGCATGGCAGAGACCACTGATGGAATGTGGGCAAAAGCCCCTAAAAGTATTGGCAAGGCCCTCAGCCCTCCAGTGTGGCTCTGCTTGGACCCTCTGCCAGCCAGGGAATAGGGGAGAAAGCACAGCTGGAAACAGGAGCCACAGGCAGAGATGGATGGGGAGGGTTGGAGCTGGTTGGAAAAGCACCAGTGGGACTGTGGGGGGTGGTGGTTGGGTTTTACTGCAGAAACACCAGTGGAATTTTAGAGGGTGGTGATTGGATTTTAGTGTAGAAACACCAGTGGAATTTGGGTAGTGGTAGTTAGGTTTTAGTTGAGAAACACCAGTGGAATTTTGGGTTGTGGTAGTTGGATTTTACTGGAGAAACACTTGTGGAATTTGGGTGGTGGTTGTTGGATTTTACTGGAGAAAGACCAGTGGAATTTTGGGTGGTGGTGGTTGTGTTTTACTGGAGAAACACCAGTGGAATTTTGGAGGGTGGTGGTTGGATTTATTGGAGAAACACCAGTGGAATTTTGGGTGGTTCACCTGCTGAGGATGGACAGGTCATCCCCTAATTAAAAGACTTCTAATTAACGAGGAGGTCCTGTTCTGGCACCAGTCACTTGCAGTTATTTGGCTACTGGCAGCTGAAATTAGATATCAGCATGGATGGAATCAGATCCCAATTGGAACTAAAGAAACCTCTTCCTGAGGAAATGTCTTCCAGGGACTCAGTGAAGCTGAGTGTGGAAGTTTTTGAGGTCAGGAGGAAGCAGCAGCAGCCAAATC